TCTCATTACAATATTAACCCAATAAAGTCTATTTTTTAAAAACAGATTTATTTATTTATTTGAAAGACAGAGCAAGAGACAAGCAGATAAAGAGAAAAGAGAGATATCTTTAATTTGCTAATTCACTTCCCAAATAGCTCCAATAGACATGGCTAGACCAGGCCTAAACCAGGTCATTGGAACTGTATTTGAGTTTCCTAAATGAGTGACAGGAATGCAAACACTTGGGCCTTCCTCTGATGCTTTTCCAGGTGCATCAGCAGGGCAGTGGATTGTGAATGAAGCAAGCAGAATTTATATTTCAAGTCCAATGCTTTAACCACTCAGCCATCACAGCTACAAAGCAGCCAGAATTTATACTGGCAATCTAGTGTGGGATCCCAATGTTGCAGTACATACTGAATACCAGCATTATTAATGCTCCAGAATGCCAGGCCCTATGGAGAGAGTTTCTTCTTTGTGATTAGTGACTGTAGTTCAGTCAGGGAATTTTACTAAGGGCCTTTCCTATTAATTGGAAATGGAGCATGGTACATAATCCTGGGTTGAATCTTGGGTGGTGAATACAAAGCTAATAATGTCTAGTTGGCATTCCTTCAAGAAAGATAACTCAGCCTAAGTACTACTTACATTTTGGGTCACTTACGTCGTTCTACTGGGAGGTTTTCTTGTGAATTGCAGAAGACTTGGACACCTTACAGGTGCTGACAGCAACTCCATGGCAGTTGTACAACCCAAAATGTCAACAGATGTTGCTAAATGTGTGCTTGGAGACAAAATCATACTCAATTAAAACCTACTACTGTAAAGAAGCTTAAGTAGGAGACAGCACAGAGCACACCAGTAAATTTAATCATGCAAAAATGTAATGAATGGAGAATACAAATGTGTTTTGGAAGCAAAGATATGAATCCTTGGCTGAGTTTTAGATTCAGCATGAGGGGTAGATAATGTTACTTGAGGAGGGAAGTCTGAACTGATTTTTAAGTGTTAGATTAAATTGTTTCACAAGTGAGAGTACGTGTAGCAACAGCTGAATGAGACCTGAAATCAAACTGAGTGGGCTCAAACCCAGCTTTACTACTGTTAGTTGGTCAATTTAGACAAGTTACTCTTTACCCTATTGTTTCACAGAGGAAAATTAGAGTATTTCCTTCAAAGATTATTGTACAATGGAATTAGGGAACCATGGACATGCTTAGCTCAATGCCTAAATTTAAGAAATAGGTAATAGATATGGGATAGTAATATACTCTTGCTGATATTATTAATATACCTGCTAATAATATTGCAGAAATTATTCTTATTCCTGAAAAGATATTCTCAAAGGAGGTGATGTATGTCTGCTGTTGTTGCAACTAAGTAAAAAATCTTGTATAGATGTTAAGTGTGCAATCTCAAAACTTGAAATACTTCCTGTTTAGGATTGTGACTGTATTTATTTAGGGTTTCAGCTTCATGGATTTGGCAACAGGAAGACCATTTAGAAAAGAGGGTTTGCCACTAAATTCAGTTCAGAATTCTTCCATAGGAAAACCATCGCCCCCAGCTAGTTCCTCTGTATCATTACTAAGACATAGGTCTTCATAATCAGTCATATGTCCATCATTGCGGGTATGGACAATGGCAGAGTGTCCAGAATCCTATTGTCAAGATATAGTAAATAGTTTCATTATAAGTCCATCTTTGTCTGGAAGCAGAAATGCATACTACACTGCATTCTTAATCTGGATATTAGTCTCCATTTCACAGATACTGTACATCCCCTCAAATGAAAAGTCATGATATGAAATCAACAATAGAAAGAAAAATCAAAATTTACAATGCCATGAAGTTAAATAACATGTTACTAGATATGACAGTCTCCATTACACAGCTACTATACATCCCCTTAAATGAAGAACCACAAAACAAAATCAACACCTGCGAAAAAAAGAAACTAACAACACTAGGAAGTTAAATAACATGCTATTAAATGACTAATGTGTAGCTGAAGAAATGAAAATCAAGAACCTTCTTGAAGAAAATGATGCCCCTGCATGATCTATGAGTCATTGAATGATTTAATCAGAACAAAATGTTTTGAAGAGATGAAACTAACAGAAAATATCAAATCCCATGAGATATATTTTCCGCTGATCTTTGTTGAAGCGTATCTCCTCCAGACAATAAACAGATGGGTTTTGTTTTTTAATCCAATTTACTAATCTATGACATTTGATTGAGCTTAAGCCATTTACATTCAGAGTTTAAAATGTATGGGTGGTACTTGGGTCCTGTCATTTTAGGAATGGGTTGTTCATTGATTTAGTCTTCTGTTGTCATTTTACTGGGATGTTCTTCCCGTTTGCCTTTGATTTTGTTTGTTGCTATTCCTCTTCTCTGTCAAGAGAACATCTTGAAGTATCATGTGTAGGGCAGATTTGGAAGAGGCAAATTCTTTGAGCTTTTCTTGACTCTGGAAGAACTTTATTTCATTTTCAAAGACAAAGGAAAGCTTTGCTGGATATGTTATGCTAGGCTGACAATTTTTTTTCTTTTAGAATCTGGAGTATGTCACTCCATTCTCTTCTTGCCTTTAGAGTTTCCTGTGAGAGATCTCCTGTGAGTTTACTTGGCATTCCTTTATATGTCAATTGATGTTTTTCACATGCACATTTAAGGATCTTTTCCTTATGTTCAGTTGAAGAGAGCTTGATAATCATGTGTCTTGGTAAAGATCACTTTTGATCAAGCCTGTTAGGAGTTCTGTGCCCTCATGGATCTTATTTCCCAATTCTTTCTGTAGATTAGGGAAATTTTCCCTTATTATTTTATTAAATATATTTGTAAAACCAAATTCTCTTTCTGTATTTTGTGAGACTCCCATAACTCTTATATTTGGCCTCTTAATAGTGTCTCAATTCTTGAATACTTTTTTTGGCCTGATCCAGTTCTGCTACCGGCTTTTTGTTTGCTTCTCCCTGGTGACAGGAGATATCTTCCAATTCTGAGATTCTTTCTTCTGCTTGCTTCGTTCTACTTTGAAGACTCTCCACTGTACTTTTAATTTGCTCTACTGTGTTCTTAATTTCTGATATAGCAGTCTTGATTTGCTTTATTGCTTCCTTAAATTCTTTGAACTCTTGCATGAGCTTCTCATTTTTGATCAGAAGCTTTAAAATCAGTCTTATGGATTCTGTGACCCCCATTTTCTCGATGTCTTCCTCAGTTAACTCTGAGGTGGCCAAAGGGTTTTTCTCCTTTGCAGGGGAGTTTTCAGTAATATTCATTGTGCCTTTGTTTCTTCTTTTGCTCTTGGTCATTGTACTTCTGGTTAGCAGAGTCTTCTCCTTGGGGTAGGTTTTTAAGCTGTGTCACCCACATGTCTACAGTTCAATTTTACTTATTGCAGTTGGTACACAACTCTTTGCTTGCAGCCACTTGTGTGACAACCTCCAGCAAGTTCCAGGTCTGGGTTCTTATATCAGATATCCACCGTGTTCTCCACAGCCCCATCTCTTGGCTCACCATTCTCCTTTTCCTGTGATACCGTGCTGAGCCTGCACCATTGTCTCTACAACCTTTCTCCCACTTCTGGTTGGAGCAGGTGACAGTATTGGAGAGACACCAGGTATTCTATATAATTAGGCTTTGATCAAACTTATTTCCATATCTTCTGACTCTGGAGGAGCAGGAAATCTTGAAGGATGAGTTTATTCCTCCATCGACTTCTTAAAAAAATGCTATTAGGCTTGAGAGTAGATTAGAAAATCTCATGAAAGTCACTATTTTGGCCTTGTACAACCAAAACCAGAGACTATGTGATGATGAGAGAGAAGGATAAATTAAAATATTACGGGTCTCTTTGTAGCCTAATGATCATACCAACCAGAGGCCCTGGGATTCTCAAATTTCTATGGCTGAGGTAGGATGGAGAACTTGAGGAAGGCATGTCCATATTATTATTGCCAAAGGAAACTCCTACATCTCTGTTCTATTGCTGAGGTAGGATGCAAAACTTGAGGAAGGAATGTCTACATTATTATTGCCAAAGAAAACTCTTACATCTCTGTTCCATTTTCACTAAAGATCATTAAATGGTGAATCACCCCGTGGGGCAAAGGTCTCAGAAGACCCAGCAGGACTATTTGGCTTGAAATGTCTGGGCCTTCTATAGATTCACCACCCAGACTATTAGCACTCATAATCACTGGGCAGGACTATCCTTCAAATGTAAAGAAGTTGACTGCCTCATAGGTACTAGAGTCCCATTTTCTGTCCTGTTGAATCAGGGTCTCCCCTGTTTCATTAGTATGATTGTGAGAAATATCTCAGGAAAGTACTTAAATATTTCACTCAACCCCCAAGCTGTAAGTGGTATAACGGGGTTTTTTTGACCCATGTTTCTCTGATTGTACTGTAGATTACAACACTACCTCTAGTGAGAAATGGGAACCATTAACCTCATTGTTCCAGGGCAATAGTTATTGCTTCCCTACTTAGGGTAGTTGTTATTCTAGAGATTTGAGCAATGCATGGTAAGATTGACTAAGCAATATTTGTCCAATCAATATGAATTTATTTCAAGAATGCCTCCTCTCTTCCCCATAAGAATACCTTAAAGATCCAGTAAGGATTACAAAACATAAACAAACATTTTTAAATCGCAGGGCTTTTAAAACCATACAGTAATCCTTATACCACACCAATATAGGGAACTAGAGAAAAATTGCTTGCACAAAGAAACATAAGTATCCAAATAAATTGGATGGAAATGTAATTTAATTGAAGACAAGGCAAGGAAAAAATCATGAAAAGGACTTCTGTTTTAAAACCTGTCATGTATATATATATATATGTGTGTGTATGTATATTATATGTATATGTGTGTATGTGAATATATGTATATATATATATATGTATATATATACATATGTAGAGAGAGACAGAGAGAGTTAGTTCTGTTGAACCACGAGAGTGAGGTTTGGTGGCCGTTAGTGTGTTATGGCTGAGGAGAACCGCGGGAGCCAGTCGTCTGCGCTGGGCTCGGGGGCTGCCGACATGCCTCTGGCCAGAGATTTGCTACACTCCTCCTTGGAGGAGGAAAAGAAGCAGCATAAAAAGAAACGGCTGGTGGGCCCGGCACGGTGGCGCAAGTGGTTAAGGTCCTCGCCTTGCATGCCCGGGACCCGGCGGCCCAGCTTCCCTTCCAGCTCCCTGCCTGTGGCCTGGGAAAGCAGTCGAGGACAGCCCAAAGCTTTGGGACCCTGCACCCGTGTGGGAGACCCAGAAGAGGCTCCTGGCTTCGGATCGGCATAGCATCGGCTGTTGTGCTCACTTGGGGAGTGAATCATTGGACAGAAGATCTTCCTCTCTGTCTCTCCACTCTGTATATTCGCCTTTCCAATGAAAATAAAACAAATCTTAAAAAAAAAAAAAGAAATGGCTGGGTCAGAGTCTAAACTCTTCCGTTATGGATGTAAAATGTCCAGGTTGCTACAAGATCACCACGGTGTTCAGCCATGCCCATTCAGTAGTTCTCTGTGTGGGCTGCTCCACTGTGCTATGCCAGGCCAGGGGAGGGAAGGGCCGGCTCACAGAAGGCTGTTCCTTTAGAAGAATGCAGCACTAGTGACCTATGCAAATTCCTGGATTTGTGTTTTCTCACGGAAAGGCTTATCATAAGATCAGATATTCTGGTGAATCTACTAAGATGATGTAATTTTGTTTGACTTTATAAGGTATTCAAGTTATCCCCTATTTTGATGTCAATTTTTCAATAAAGTTTTGATTATGGGCAAAAAAAAAGTGAGGTTTGAAGTGGTTCTGTGAAAATTAAAAAAAAGCCCCTTGTAAATTTAATATTCCACCATATGTCTTTCTAAGAGAGGTTGTCATGGGAGATATCTCACAAATAGAGGTGGTTTTTGTATTCTCACACTCTGATTCATACAGTTAATAGGGTTAAATCCATGGTGTGGTGCCTTAACGGAGGTAAGCAGTGAATAATAAGATAAAAAGAACTAGCACATCCAGTTGCAAGGTATTCCCAAAATAGCTGCAGATTGATGATGGAATTGAGGTTTGATGGCATTGAGGGATGAATGCTAGGGAGGAGTCTGTACAACAGATTTACTTATCCTTATAAAAAGTTAGTTTGAATCCTTCGGTGGCTTGGCCAGACTATTCATCTTCCTTGGAGGTGTCAAAGTCATTCCCCAGGATTGAGTCTGAAGTTAGTTCAGAGACCCAGGTTTTTACTTGACTATAGTGGAATATAATCCTAAAAAGAAGTTTGAGCACTTAAAGTGGCAGGAGTCGTCACCGTCCTTGGAGGTGTCCAAGTTATTCTCTGGGATAGAATTATAAGTTGGTTTGGAAACCCAGGCTTTTACTTGAATGGTGGATCCAAGAGTCCAATCCAGACACTTGTACTAAAGTGCAGATAGAATGAGTCAGAGTTCAGGGTCCTTCCAACCCTCCTCTGAAGAGGGGGAGTGAGTTGGAAGGGCCTTCATTAACACTCCCAGTCACATGCACTGGTTTCTGATCTCACATGGCCTCTGCAAGTTTGGCAAGTACTGTGATGGATCTGATCTTATATGAGATCTCATTGTCCATTAAGAGATTGTTAGTAATGAAAAGACCACAGAAGGTGAGTTTCATAAAATAGCTTCTTGGGCATCTCATGAATATGTAATTAGTCATTAATCTTTTCTAACTTTCCTGTTGATGGTGGCTTCAAGGCACAATGGAGGTGGTGTTCTATATCTAGCTCCTTAAAGATACTCTGAATGGTGTCTGCTTGCAGAAGAAGCCTTTGTCACTGTAAGCACTAAGGAAGTCTGAAACTGGGAGCTATTTCAGAGACCAGGAGCATTCCGAATTCCATAAAGAAGGCTTTTACACAACTAGTGAAGGTATCCATAAAAAGAGTATTGGATATTTCTTATTTTAGGCATGTAAGTAAAGTCTAGTTGCCAGTCTTATCTTTCTCTAGATGGCTTCCTTTACTTTGTACTCTAGGTAGAGGAAAACTTACATACAAGGCACTGTTACTAAGCCGAGGTTCACAGACCTCCATAACCTGTTGCAGAGATCTGAGGAATTCCTTTCCTGTAAATAGCTACTGAGCCTGCTGAAAAGTCTTATCCCTTCCCAGGTGGAAAACTTCATGTAGGGTTTTAAGTGCCTTCCACTGGCAAGGGGAAGGACAATGTATCCTTCTTCAGACTGAAGCCATCCAATGGGCTGGAGAGTATGATATCTAGAAGGTACCATCACATCTCTTCAGAACAGTTTTATGGCTGATCACTTGCAGGGGCTTTCCCCAATTCAAAAGAGCCTCTAAATGCATTGATTGGGCCACCAACAGCCATTTATTTTCTCTTAGCCATTTCATCAGTTTGTTTAAGTGTCTCTTATTGTGTGTAACTGCAAATTCCAAAGGGAAGAACACCAAACAACTGATTTATTTCTTGCTAGTATTTGATTTGTGACCCATTTGCAACAAGGGAGTATCTTTATGAATAGTCACATGAGCATAGATAACTAAATAGACATACTAAAAATCCTTATAATATATGTTAGTTTATACTTGCATAGTTCAAGTGCTCTTGTTAGAGCTACCAGCTCTGCCTATTGAACACTTATAAAAGAAGGAAGAGGAAAAATGAAGGCTTATGAAGTGAAATGATTTGTATTAATCAATAAAACTAACAAAGAAACAGCTGTGCTTTAAAACTACATTTATCTCAAACATCATTTTCATTGAAGTCAACAATACTGCCATTTTTGTTAATTATATCCATTAGAATGTGTGTGTAGAAACTAAGCATGTATTTTTCATTTAGCTAGAATGATACATGCTATAGAGAATTAGATATGCAAGAGAGATCTGGTGGCTGGTGAATTCTACTGAACTTTCAAAGAACAAATTCAATCAAAAAAACTATACATAAAATCAACAAATCAAAAAGTTGGTTTTTTGAGAAAATAAACAAAATAGACACTCCACTGGCCCGATTGACCAAAAAAAAAAAAACAAGAGAAAGTGAGAATCAATAGCATTAAAGATGACAAAGGCAACATAACAACAGACACTGCAATCATTAAGAAAATAATTAGAAATTACTACAAAGAACTGTACTCCCACAAATTTGAGGATCACCAAGAAATAGAAAAGTTCTTGGACTCCCACCACTTACCAAAACTCAGTCCGGAGGCAACTGAAGAATTAAATAAACCCATAACCGAGGCAGAGATTGAAACAGTCATCAAGGATCTCCCAACGAAAAAAAGCCCAGGCCCAGACGGCTTCACCACAGAATTCTACAAAACATTCCAAACAGAACTAACCCCAATCCTCTACAAGCTCTTCAAAACAATAGAGAAGGAAGCAACCCTCCCAAACTCATTCTATGAAGCTAACATCACCTTAATCCCAAAACCGGACAGGGAACCGTCAGAGAAGGAAAACTACAGACCTATTTCTCTGATGAACATTGATGCTAAAATTCTCAACAAAATCCTAGCCAATAGAATTCAAAAAATCATCAGACAGATCATTCATCCGGATCAAGTAGGATTCATCCCTGGAATGCAGGGATGGTTCAACATTCGGAAATCCATAAATGTTATAAACCACATACAAAAACTGCAAAACAAGAACCACATAATAGTTTCAATAGATGCAGAAAAAGCTTTCGACAAAATCCAACACTTCTTCATGCTAAAAACTCTAGCCAAAGTAGGCATAGATGGGAAAATCCACAACATAATCAAAGCAATTTATGAAAAACCCAACGCCAGTATCATACTGAATGGAGAAAAGCTAGAACCCTTCCCACTGAGATCTGGAACAAGACAAGGATGCCCGCTATCACCACTGCTATTCAACATAGTCCTAGAGGTACTTGCAGAGGCCATAAGACAAGAAAAAGAAATCAAAGGCATACGTATAGGAAACGAAGAAGTCAAGCTTTCACTATATGCAGATGACATAATCCTATACATAGAAAAACCAGGAGACTCAATACAGAAACTACTAGAACTTATACGAGAGTTTGGCAGAGTGGCAGGGTACAAAATTAATGAACGAAAATCAACAGCCATAGTGTACGCAAATAACACCAAGATGGAAGAAGACCTAACCAACAGGATACCATTCAAAACAGCAGAGAGAAGTATGAAGTATCTGGGAATAAATCTAACCAAAAGCGTAGGAGACCTATTCGAAGAAAACTACAAACTATTTAAAAAGGAAATTGAACAAGACCTCAAAAGATGGAATAACATCCCATGCTCCTGGATAGGCAAAATCAATATCATTAAAATGTCTATACTACCACAAGCTATATACATTTTCAACGCAATTCCAATCAAATTGCCCAAAACATTCTTCACGGAACTGGATACAATGATTCAAAAGTTCATCTGGAAACACAAAAAACCACGAATAGCTAGAACCATCCTGAAGAATAAGAAGTTAGCAGGGGGAATCACAATCCCGGACCTCTGGACATACTATAGAGCAGTGGTTATCAAAACAGCCTGGTACTGGCACAAAGACAGAAAGGAAGATCAATGGAATAGAATAGAAGCACCAAAAGGGAACCCACACAGATACAGCCAATTAATCTTTGACAAAAAGACCAATGACAGTCCAAGCAAGTGGGAAGGCCTCTTTAGTAAATGTTGTTGGGACAACTGGCTGATAGCCTGTAGAAACAAAAAGATAGACCCACATCTATCACCATACACTAAGATCCAATCTACATGGATAAAAGACCTAAACCTACATCCAGAAACCTTCAAACTCTTGCAAGAAAATGTAGGAAATACCCTGCAAGACCTAGGAGTAGGTCCCGACTTTCTAAGAAGGACACCAAAAGCAATAGCAGTTGAGAACAGAATAAACAAATGGGACCTCATCAAACTAAGAAGCTTCTGCACAGCAAGGGAAACAATCAACAAAGTAAAAAAGCAACCCACAGAGTGGGAGAAGATCTTTGCACACTATATAGGCGATAGGGGGCTAATTTCCAGGATATACAAAGAACTTCAAAACAACCAAAAAACCAAAACAAACAAGCCACTCAAGAAATGGGCACGGGAAATGGGCAAACATTTCACAAAGGAACAAGTCCAAATGGCAAACAAACATATGAAAATATGTTCCAGCTCCCTGGCAATAAGGGAAATCCAAATTAAAACATCAATGAGGTACCACCTAACACCAGTTAGATTGGCCCACATAAACAAGAACACCAACGACACTTGCTGGCGAGGATGCGGGGAAAAGGGAACCCTACTCCACTGCTGGTGGAGCTGCAAATTGGTACAGCCTTTATGGAAATCAGTCTGGAGAACACTCAAACAACTCAAAATCTGCATACCATATGACCCAGCAATTGCACTCCTAGGAATATATCCAAAACACCTGTTTTACGACAAACCAACATGCATCCCTATGTTCATAGCAGCACAATCAGTAATTGCAAAAACATGGAAGCAACCGAAATGCCCATCAGCAGAAGATTGGATAAGAAAGCTTTGGTTCATCTACTCCATGGAATACTACTCAGCTATTAAAAAAAAACAAAATGCAGTTCTTTGTGGCTAAATGGGCACAACTGGAAACTATAATGCTAAGGGAAATGAGCGAATCCCAAAAGATTAGATACCACATGTTTGCCTTGATTTAACTTGTAATTTTTGTTTGGTTGTTGGTTATTTTTTGAACCTGTCATTGATACTGTCTCAACCCAGATGTTTCGAAGAATGGAACTTGCATTATTTTTAACA